TAACTCAGGTTTATGCTCACAGATGCTGCCAGACCTGCTGAACTTTTCCAGCAACTTTGTTTTTGTTCCTGATTTACAGCATCTGCAGTTTGTTTGGTTTTTACTCTTTTTTTTTTAGTGTTCCATGTTGGGATTGCTTTCTGAGGTAATCCCCTGATTCCAGATTCTCCAACAAGGGAAAACATCCTTCCTGCATCTAATGTCTTCAGTGTTGTTAAAATTTTATATATTTCAATCAGATCCCCTTTCATCCTTATAAATCATAGCGAATGGAGGCTGAGTCAAACCATTGCTCTATCAGGCAGTAATGGGTGTTTTATTACATGGGACATTATGTAGGAAATAATCATGATGTAACGAATGCGGATACTGCACCCCACCCACCCCGCCCTACCCCATCAAAATACTCTTTCAAGATTGTTTTAATTTAGTTTCTATTAACCTACAATAAATTCACTGGAATTGTGACGTGAATATAAGCAAATTTGACTTTGTTACAGAACAGAAATATTGCAAAATGTGACTGGAAATTTGAATTTTTCATTTTATAATATTGAAATTATAACCTGCGGCAATGGCTATCTTTTGTGATCACTTGTTTTTGGGATAATACAGGAGCAGAATACATGGGATTAGAAAATCATTTTCATGAACCAAATCATTGTTAACATATAGTGGTTGAGAATTACAGCATTTGCTATTCTGAATGAGTAGCTTAAGTTAAATCTAATGATCTAGTTGCCAAGAAAATTGTTCACGATGTAATAATAATTTGAATCTGCTCATTGAGTTATGATCCTACCTTTGAAAATAAAAGTTTACTTGGCAAGAAATTACATTTGTCATGTGCATATTTTAACCTGTAGAGTTAGCGTAATGGTACCATTTGTCTACAGTTCCTATGCCAAACACATTATTACCTCTCACGTACATAATACCATTTCTACATTTAAATTGCTACATTTAAAGCATTTAAATTTTCTGTTTTTAAATGAAAAATTCAAACATGTTCAGTAATTTAGCTTTTTTGGAGTCATCAATTCCTTAAGCTTTAGTGTTACTGTTATGACATCTGTCCAACTGCGTGTTGTTGAATTCTGCCACACACCTAAAATCTTGTATTTCATTTCTTATACGTTATGAGAGACCAATACTCCACCAAAAAAAATTGTATTTCAAATTTCTAAATGAAAGGTTCACACAAGCTTAAAAAAAATTAGACTTTTTCTGTAACATACAAGCTAAAAGTAACATTTCGCAGGAGATAGTGGCATAGTAGTCATGTAACTGGATCAGTACTCCAAAGGCCAAGAGTCATGCTCTGGCAACATAGTTCAACTTCCACTATGGCAGCTGGTGGAATTTAAATTCAGCTAATGGATCTGGATAACGTAAAGGAGCACCTCATGAGATTTTCATAAAACTATTGCTGATGGTTATGAAACCATCTGGTTCACTAATGTCCTTGAGGAAAGGAACACTCCTGTCCTTGTCTGTACTGCCTACAGGTGAGTCCAGACACACAGCAATGTGTTTGACACTGAAATGGCCAAGCAAGCTGTTCGATTCAAATACAGTTAGGGGGATAATAAATGCTAGCATTACCTGTGACATCCATATCCAATGAAGGAATAAAGAAAAATAAGGCACTTTTTCCTTCCTATCAAATTTTATTCCCCCAGGTGACTGTTCACTTAATACATTTCCTACCAAATTTTATTCCCCCAGGTGACTGTCCACTTAATACATCTCCTTTAGAATCAGTGTTTACCACATCGTGCAGGGAGCAATTATAATTGCTAATCATAGTTAAATTTGAATGCACTAAGTAGCCATTGCAAACGGCTGGCAGACAAGTGATCACTTTGCATTGGACCCTGTAGTGCAGTGAAGATTTTAAAATGAAAACTGCCTGAAACTGTGTCATAACCAAGAAAGCTGTCTTCCCTATCAGTAATTCCATTCCAAGATGCTGACTGGTATGCTAAGTTGGTTCTGCTGTTGCATTATTTCTGGGTTGGTTCTGCTGTTGCATTATTTCTAGCAGTGCTGGAAGTTCTGCTTTGTATTCTGCCTGTATTCAAAGTAGGTGAAAAGACAATTCATTCAAGTATGAATGTGCTAATAAATGGGTAGAGATGTGAGCAGAACCGCAATGTAGGAAAAGACATTTTTTAATGACTATTTTATCTAGGTTTTTATTATTAAGAATATTATTCATATGATTAAATTATGCTCTCATTCTGACTCACCCGAGTTGTTTGTGTCATATATTTTCGTTTGTAAATGTAACGATTCTTTACTACTAGTGGACTTAACATCTCTTTGTAAAATTTGGTTTCTGCTTAACTATATTTATATGGGTTAATCAAACTCATTGCTGTACATGTAAATATATTTTTTGTAATGAACAAGCACAATAGATGTCTGGTTTCAGTCGATAAAAGTTTATTTCACCATTGTAAATGTTTTTTTACTAATATTTGAGTGTTATCTTTCTTCCCTTATGGATATGTTCTTTGCATCCCACTGGAAAGCAATGATGTACTTTCTGTTTATTTTGTTCTAACTGTTAAAGTTTGCGTTCTTGCAGCTGTTCTTGGATGTTCTGCCTGAGGACAAAAAGCAGTGGCTTAATAAGATAACGGAATTAAGATCCCACTATGAACAGATAAAAGAAATTGTAAGTGACTTTGTATTTTTTTTTACCCCATTTACTTGTATCTAAGTCTTTTTTTAAAAAAGTACCAACTGGCATTTTGTCTAACCACAGCATATCACAAATCCTCGGAAAGCTGCTGGACAGCAAGATCTGGTTGTCAACAACCCACTTTCACAGGATGAGGGGGTGAGTATGACCAGATTTTTTTTTTTATCGTCATTTAAAGTTTTAAAGATTGTTGGTAATCCAACAATAACAACTATTTGGTAAAAGCAAATAAAATGCATCTTTCAGTTAATACATAAAACCAAATAACTGAGACTATACCTAGAATCTGCTGTAAAAGATGTAATAAATGTACACTTGGAAAATTGTGGTAGGATTAGGCATGAAGCTAAGGAAGAGAAATCATGTTTCACAAAACCATCTCTTTTGAAGATATATCACGGTTTCTCAGTGGTTCAGTCGTCAGCACTACTGCATCATAGTGCCAGGGTCATGGGTTTGATTCCAGCCTGGGGTGACTGTCTGTATGGAGTTTGCACATCTTCATGTCTGTGTGGATTTCTGCTGGGTGCTACAATTTCCTCCCACAGATCAAAGATGTGCATGTTAGGTGGACTAGCCACGCTGAATTGTCCACCACGTCTAAGGATTTGCAGGCTAGATGGATTAGCAATTGTAAATGCAGGGTTACAGGGATAGGGTAGGAGGTTGGGTCTGGGTCGGCTGCTCTTAAGAGGGTCAGTATCGTTTTGATGGGCTGAATGGCCTCTTTACACACTCTAGGGATTCTATGATTCTACATCAAGAAGAATACAACCAGTGACAGTCTCAAAGAATGGGGGAACAATCTCAGAATAAGAGGTTGACCATTTAGGATTGATATAAGGGATCTCTTCACTCAAAGGGTAGTGAGTCTTTGGAATTCTTTAATCCAGAGGACTGTAGAGCCTCAGTCATTGAATATATTCAAATCAAAGACTGATAGACTTTTGGGTATCAAGGAATATGATAATAATGCAGGAAAATTGTGTTCAGGTAGAAAATCCACCATCATATGAATGCATCAAATGGTCTAGTCTTGCTCCTACTTCCAATGTTCCTATCTCTCCACCTCTCCTCCTTGAAACCTAACCGTTAATCAAGCCAATCTGTTTATTAGCAATTCATACTTACTGCAAGGTAGTCAAGATGTAGATGACTTTGCACAAAGTAAGCCTGTGAGTGGTTAATTTTGTATCACCCATAAGGATATTACTTTGACATACAATGATGAGAAATTGCAATGATTATTATGTAATTTATGTGGAATTAACCAAGGAACTGTGCAAGATGATTATTTTCCGCACTGAAAAATTTATTGCACTGTTTTATATCTCTTCTAAGTCATTCTTTGTACCATTTGTTGACTTGGAAATATTTACTAAGAGAATTTATGTGGCCATCTTGTATCAATTGTTCTTTTTTTCCCTTTGATCTTGGACTTTTGTTTGTGTTTGTGGTTCAGGTGCAAGTTAGAAGGTAGGTTTAAGGAATTTCTTTGCTCACTGTGGAGATCCCCCTGCCAGAATTACATCTTAAGACTTTGGGCACAGATCAACAGGTTTTCCATCCATTGCAATTTACAGTACAACTTCCACCCCGAAATGCCTGATATGCTTGGATGTATCTTTGCATGGCAGCTTTTCTATACTCAAGATGCCAGCTACAACTCATTTTATGTGAAGTGCGTGGTCTCATTTAAATTCATCCCCCCAAACACCCATTATCTTGCATGTTTTTGGGTTGCATTTTCCTTCAAGCTGAGTGATGAGTACAAGATATATCAGAGCCGATGTAGAATTTTCCATATCTTTCAATATGAATTCCAAAAATTAATTGTGAAAAATGAATTTTAAGAGGATTTTTTCATTTTCTAAATCAAACACTTTTCCTGTATTGATAAAGCATTGTCATTTTTAAAGAAAATCATTCAATACTGGTTGTTTACATGTGTTTGAGTAATTTTTTTAGCAAAACACTATTGTATCTCTTTGCAATGTAATGTCAGGTTATCTTGGTTTGGAAAAATCCAAGCATGCAAGGCTGAAGTCAGGTACATAATTCTGAAAATGTGAATAAACAATTGTATACAGTATCAGGTAACTGGTACACAGTAAAGCATGTGTTTTGGGGTTTTTTCTATTAATATTTATTGTCTGATTGTCTTTTTATCTAGAGTCTTTGGAACAAGTTTTTTCAGGATAAAGAACTTCGAGCAATGATTCACCAAGATGTAACGAGAACGTATGTGCAAAATTAAATCTGAAAATGAACTATAAGACTCAAGCTAGATGTTAGACATTAAGATACTCGCTTGTTTTCAATAAACTGCAGGCCATCTTATTTATTTTTTGTGATTTGTCACATCTGCATAATTAACTGATACCCTTCATAATAAAGTCCAAGAATTTCCAGGCAAGACTTTGTATAACATAGTGTATTTAATATATCATGTGCATGTGTTTATATATATAAAAATATACATATTGTGTGTGTGTGTATATGTAGCCATCATATGCAAGGATTTCATTTCTTTATCAAGTTTATAAGATTTTAATATTTAATACAATATGTTTTATGGGACCCTCTCTTAAAATGTGCTTAACATCTTAAAATGTTTTTGGACTGTTTTCTCCTGTTTCTAGGTTGCATATTCCTTTCAAGCATATAAAAGATAGTTTTGGGTACAGTAGGACTTTAAAACCATGATCAATTTGTTTTATCATTTGATCAGCAGGAGGTAGATTTTAAGGGGAATGAACTAATCTCCACTTTTATTAGAGTGAGAGAAAATTCTTAGTAGTTTCTAATACTACAAAAATTGCTTTTTTGCATACATTCACATTCAATTAATGGAAAAAAGTTCAAGCAGTAGTAAGTAAGCTGACTGATTCAGAGTCAATTGTTAAAGCAATTGAACTGATGGACCGCCCCACTAATTCAAATTAAGTGTTTTTTTGTTTGTGTGCAACGTATCACAACGACTTAGTCAGTTATTAATAGATATGATGATGTTATTCTGTTTTGCAGCTTGACCATGAGACAATATTTTCATTGTGTTCTGGAACAGTTATACACAACAATATGGATAGGCTCGGAGAGGGCAAATAATTTTGAAATAGAAATTAAAAACCGCAACAATATTTTAACATGTCATTTGTGACTCAGTAGAACATAGAACAAAGAACATTATAGCGCAGTACAGGCCCTTCGGCCCTCGATGTTGCGCCGACCTGTGAAACCAATCTGAAGCCCATCTAACCTAAACTATTCCA